GAAACGCATGTGGGGGAGAAGAGAAAGAGAAAGAGATCCCAGGCGAACATGGCCTCCAAAAACGGTCAAACGCTCCATGCTAGCTGTGTTTGGGTGACCAAACAAAGGACTTATCGGTTACTTTGAGGACATGAGGGCAGTGCTCTTAAGCCATTTTGACCGCCTCAGGAGGTCTTCTCTTTCCGCTGCGATGCCTGGACGGACCAGATGAGCCACCTGGAAGCAATTGTGTGGCAGCTAGGGTGGCTAGGGCTAGGGCAGCTAGGTCTTAACAAATGACCAAGTGAACAGAAACTTCTTGAGGCCCTTTGTTGTGTAAGTTTTCTTGGAGCTAAGCACCAAGCACATGGCAACCAAGCCGGCCTACCCGGTCGCAGGTTCGCTCAGCCCTCAAAATTTGCCTGCTGAAGGTTTGGCCTACGAAATCTTGGTGACCTTTGGTGTCTTCCTGCCCCTTGGCCTACAAAACCCGGGTTCTCGTCCACAGGGATTTGAGTCACAAGATGGTACAAACCCTGCGGGGCCAGTGTGCCACTTTCTTTTGGAATGACCAAAAGTGAATGTGGCATATGCCCTGACTGCCACTCGTGATCAGTTCATGGTAGAGGTACATAGTGGAGCTGTGACTCTAGTGGCCCGACCAACTCTCTCAAGGGTCTCCGGTGAACTTGGCATGCTCATGCCAGTCTGGCCTACACTATGTTGGCAAGACCATGCTCAGGTTCAACAAACTCGATCTGGCAGAGCCATATCTATACAGGGCTCCTCTTTTTTTTGACCCTCGTACTCTTTTTGTTTAAAGCCACCAACGCCTTTTTTGCACATCTTTTTTGACCTTACTTGTGTTTTCCTTCCATGTGTTGTTTTGACCACCAAGCAATTTTTCTAACCCGCTACCCCTTTTTGACCCCTTACCATGTGTTTTTTTTGGCAGGGTTTGTGGCTGTGGGTTGCTCGGTCAACTTGACTCCAGAGTCCGGAGGGGGCTTTTCATCGGAGCTACGGCCGGAACCATCGACCGAAGAAATCAACGCTGGTCAGTGGTCGATTGGCACAGCTGTGAGCAACATATATAATATAAACCCAGCTTTGCAACCCAACAGCAGGTAGCGACTCATATGACCAGAACTTGTCAAGCACTCCAACTATGGGGCTCCCCGTTTTTCTGACCACCCTACCATACCATTTGTTTGATTCACCCATTTTTTTTTCACTTTGACTACCATTCCTTTTTCCCTGACCACCATACAAGGTAGCACTCAGCGGAGGGAGGTGCCAGCTGCCATTATATTTTATATACATTTTGTGAGGTGCCATTATCATTCCACTGTAGCATACCTTTTGTGCGCTGCCCGAGGGTAAAGGGTGCCCAAAGAGGTCAAACTTAGAAAAGGGAGGTGCCAGTGGAGGGTAGTATAGTGTTTGAAGCCAATCCAGAGTAAAACGTAGAGGCCATTCCATTGTACTGCCATCACATACTAACGAAAAACTGTGGAGAGCCCATGGTTGTGTGCATTCGCCATTCGCGCTGAAGCGAGGTATGTGATTCTTATGCTCGAGTTGGGTAGCATCTCCATCAAGCTTTCAGAGTATCGAGTCCTCGTTTTGCACGCTATTGAGCAGGTGCGCTGTTTGATCCTGACTTCCCCACCGCTCCTCGAGAGCCCTTGAAGATCAGTCAGCATCATTCAGCTAATTCGATGCTTGAAACTCAATAGTCCTGCCAAGTTCAATAAAACGTGTTCATCCATTTCCTCATGGAGCGAAGTTGAACAGATTTTCTCTTGGCAGGTGATTTTGTGCTTGGGTGTGGTCTTCCTGATCATATGCACCTTCGCTGTTGCTATCTCCGGCATGGAACGCGAGGCCCCATCCTCGATGAACAAAGACAAAATCTTTTGGACTCGACAAAGGCACAGAAGATCCAATCTGACATTTTGTTATGCATGGTTGGTTTGTATATATATATATATATGTGGGAATGCTCATTTTGACATAGGACGATGTGGGTGGACAACTTTTCGCAACTTGTGTGTGTGTGTTTGTGAAAATTATGGTTTGTCACGGAATGATGGCACATGATGATTGTTCGATGTTATAAATATTGCACCAACGCTGTTTTTTGAGAATTTCCCGCGGCTGGCATTTGATTCGGTTTGAAGTCTCTATGCCATTTTCTGCTTTTTGTATATCCATGCACGAGAGACTCCCAGAAGCATGGGGGTGCTGCATGTTTGATGCTACCAGCTATGCTCGCAGCCTGCAGGTAGCTGCTGTGACCGGCGCCGACGCATGGTAGAGCAATGGCGGTCTACAATCAAACATGCCTCAAGATGGCCAACGGGGGGAAACGAGGGGAACTAAGATTTGACGAGTAGACCACTGCAGGAGGGTCTTGTCTTTTCTCAGATGTCATGTTTCTTCCACTCAAAGTCACCTATGTCCCCATGAGCTTTCAGGTGTATCTCATAGTCGACAAGCCATGACGAACATGGAATCATCCTCATCAAGGGAAGTGTATCTACCAAAAAAGGTGGAACCCACAACATCCAATGATATACTCAAGCTGACAAATGGTGAATTTGACTTTATACGGAAACATCTTTACCATTTGATATCATTTGATGCTGGCAATCCGATCTAGTTTGAGGCTGACGATTCTAGTGCTGAGGATTGGTCAGACTTGGGGTCCAGGATGAGCACTCTGATCCGTTTGGCCTTTGGAGCTATGGACTTGGACACTTGGAGCCAAGATGGAGCCTGCAATGATTCAAAACGCCTCCACGCAAAGTCTGTGCTCTTCTCATGGAGTCTTGCATTTGGATGCGTTTGGTATGTTTCTCCTGTTAGAGTTGAGGATAGTCTATTAGTCTAGGACTCTGAGCTGAGGGCGCCATTCAGGGCCTGGCCGAGCAGAGCCCTTTGTTGCTCATCGCGCCTCGGAGATCCGAGCGGCAAGCCCGTCTCTAAGTGTGGGGGGGTTGTGTGGCAAATCGTATCAGGCCTATTCAGGAAACCACGAGGAAACCACTCTAGGATTCTCTTCCTCGTGCGGCGTTGAGATAGTCTCCCTGGTGCGGCCAGCAAGTCCCCAGAAAAAATTCAGCGCTTTAATGAACCACTGCATGCCAATGAATACTAATGGTGTTTGGGGTCATTTGGTGTCCAAGTTTCCTTTGCCAACGAAGGGGGTTGCGAAAGGAAGCAGGCATGACATTTTGCATAGGCTTCAAGGGCAGTACAATTCTCGCTTACACCATCATGCGTTTGCACAATTGGGTTGGTTTGGTACCTTTTTTTTCCAGTTGCGATCCTTCAGCAAGCCTGGGGCCTGTGGACACAGGCGTGCCTTCGATGCCAAGAGCCAAATTGGGCCATCCATAGGAAAGGAAATCCTCAGGCAGTCACCTAAGACCTCAAGCAAACATGTGTTTAGTTGCTGGCCAGTGTGTTTTGCCAGCTCGGGGTGACTTTGGCAGAATCTGGCATGGACATTGACATGTTGCTTGCCTTGTTTTGGTGACGGCCTAGTCCTTTTGTGCTCGTTACAAGAGATGCTTGCGCAACTTCTAGCAGCTAGCAAAGATCCGACCGAGGCCGGGCAAGGTATATACTCCGATTATATAGAAAGTTGATGGCGCTAAAAAGTGTATCATCCACACTGTTTATATTTGTATGCACATAGATAAGGTCCCAATAGCGACAGTCAGTTGCGCCATGCCATCAAGGAACCCCGAAACATCTCCAAACTGCTAAAGTCTATCGCGAGAACCTCGCGTGTTTTTTGGCTGCTTATGTTGAGCCATACATGATGCAAAGTATTCTCGCGGGGACCTCTTTCCTATTTATTGTTAGTCTACGTCTTCATACGTCTTCACTGTTTCCATGCTTGCAGTGGTTGCAATAAGTTCTTGGACTTACTGTGTGAAGGGGGGCTGAAGAACAACCTCATTAGCTGCAAGTGCAGGCACAGACAGAGTCATTGGCAAGCGAAAGAGGAGACGAAAGTTCTTGGACTGTTGAAGAAATAAGAGCTTCTGAATTCCAAGATTCCTTGGGGATCTGTGCAGATCTTTATGTTCCTCTCTTCTGTTCCGGTCTTCCACGTCTCTTCGTTCCAGCGTCCTCCTGGTTTTGGTGGCTGCACCGTGCACCGTGAGCCCCTGAGCACTGTTCCATACAGCATTGCCTGCAAGATGGCCGTAATGCACCTCCTAGGCTGGGAGGCCATTGCGCCTCCATGGGCCTTCTAGCTCTTGCCCCTCCCATGCTCTCTAGCACTTCCTTGGCTAGGCAATTATGTACTAAAGATTGTTGTTGGGCACTTGAAATCCTGAAACATGTCATGTTTGAAAACTGCCCGGGCGCGTACAAGCTGGCTCGAGTGCGCATTAATAATTAGAAACGCGCCATCCACGTTTTACAACATAATCTTAGTTTCCTCGCTGTATAAAGTGATTTAACTTCCCAGTTTGCAAGATGTTGGTTGTTTAAGATGATGATAGATGATGCGAATGTATGGCATGGGGAGTTGAGCCGTCAGTGATTAACTGCGTCCTGATTGAGTTGGGCGTACAATTTTCCAATTCGTGTATGTGGCTTCGTCAGTAAGGTTGTCTTTAAGTTTGCAGATCCAAAGCCAGACATAATGCATGCAATATCCTGTTGAGTATCTCCTAGTCAGGTCATCCTCCTGTTCATGATGATGGTCTACAGCTTCTTTTTCAATCTCTTGGTCTCGCCACTTGGACTTAATTTTCAGATGGAAGATCGACAGCTGTTCGTTTGCTCCTGCATGCCTCAACTCTTCAAACCTGTTTTTTTACGCGTTCTTCCCTTCCCAGACTTGCCCCCAGTCATCAATGGCAGACAACTGAACCCAATAGCAGGAGCCAATGACCAATTGAATAGCTCGGGACTCGAGTCTCAAATCTTCAAGCAGCGAAAACTCTTCATTCGAGGTTTGCAGTTCGCCCACCGTGTTGCACGTTGCTTCCCAGGCAGTTCTGTGGCGTCTACACCTCCCTGGCTGCAGACATCAAGGGACATGCCAGGTGGGATTGAACAGGAAAAGCCTTAGCTTGCAAGGAGACTCAGGAGATTACCTTCAAAGAACTAATGGATGATATCCCCCCTTAATGGTGTGGTGTGGAGCTGAGTTGATATTGATTCAGGCTGGCTCGGGGCGAGATCATCATCGAGACATTCAAGGCACGGTACTCACATCCTGGGACCTTCACCGAAGAGGCTTTTTACGTTTTGGGATTCAATTTTGGGATGCATCACTGACAGTTGGATGATCAAATGACTTCACATCACTCATGTAGTTGTTGGGTGTGCTCAGAGGTCCCAGACTTTTGCCGCCCAATGGGGAACTAGATGTTGAAGCAAGCTGTGAGCATCCCCAGAAACGTCCCCAAATGCCGTGGCACTGAGATCGACGTGTCGCCATGGGAACTGGACATCGCCGTGTCGCGGATGGAGAAACACGATCGAGCACGTGCATGTCTTTACAGACATTAGAAGCTACGAACAGGGCTCCTGGCCTTACTAACTAGGAGCAAGGACGCTACTAGGAGCAAAGGGCATCGCTACTAGGAGCAAGAAGCTACTGGGAGCAAGGACGCTACTAGCTACTAGGAGCAAGACTGCAGCAGTCATCTCCTTTCGTGCCAAAAACTCGGGCATTTCAAGCGATGCCAAAGGCGATACCCCTTAAGCGATGCCCTTGATCGTGCCAGTCGATCACTTGCCCACGTAAACATAGGGTGGTTCGCAATCAACAAAGAGTTCACAGTAGCAGCTTTATGAATGCTCTCAGCTGCTTCCAAAGCTCTTCTAGTGTGTTTTCTGTGCTTTGCTGTTGTCTTCAACTCAAGTGAAATTTGTTTGTTTGTCTCCTTTGAGTGGCCCTGCTCATACATAGTTTGGTTGAAACCCACCTTGACAAACTACAAGAAAGCGATGCTACCCTTCCGAAGTCTAAAGTGGTCCAAAGCTGAGAGGGAAGCGATGGCCCCCCCAATCTATGTGATGGCATGAGATTGAACCAGGATTTGACAGACGCACCACAAATATAGTAACATAGAGACCCCCAAATAGAGAGAGAAAGTAGGTAAGTAGATCTCCACCTAAAATGTATTGGAAACCGTTTCTATCTATTTGGGGCCACTATACACATATACTTATACTGTGAGGTCAGAGTCACGGGAGGTCAATTTCTTTTTTAAACACCCCTGTGAACTCCCTGTCCGCCCACCCTGTTTCGAACACGGCGGCTGTGTGAAGACTGTCCGCGCGTGACCACACCAGGCGGTGAAGATGACACGTTGGACCAAGTTCATGACCTCATTGAAGTTGGATGAGAAAGTTGATTTTGAAGAAGGTGACATCGGCCTGGCTGGAGGCCCTGTGCGGTTCTTGCCCTCCACAAACCTCATCAAATGTCGCAAGGTGAGTTGAACGGGCGAAGGCCTTCAACAATGCTCTAGCTACTAGCTGCCTAGCTGTTTTGGTTGCACCTCCGCGCCCCGAGTGTTACCACAATGAAGCCTCGATTTGATGGTATTTCGGTATTTCGATGTTTGTTGGTGCATTGCATGTGGGTATAGAGCTTGCCCCACACATCACCTTACCTGCTTCTTTCTGGCAACTGCAAGCGTTTCTAGTCACGGTTCAAGGGGCGTTTTCAGATTTGTTGCGTCTCAGCGCTAGCTTAGCCACCAGCAGCCATGCACCTTTGCTGAACCCAGATGTTTGGTTTGTGAGTGAAGCGGCTTGTGTTGTCAGGCATCAAGACCTTCGAACCAGCGCTTGCTCATCCAGTGGCCAAGGAGAGCTACAGGGGCCTGTGGTAGGATCCTTTGTGAAAGATGAACGCACAAGTTTTGTTGGTATAAAGAACGCGAAAGGTGAAGACATAAAGTAGTGAAAAAAGAAGGGTCTAAAGAACAAATGGTAAAATAACAAATCAGTATTAAGTATTTGGGTTTACGGATGCTATAGGCTACGATTTTGACAGCTTTCGGCTAGAACCGGGCTACGAAATGCCAAGAACGGCCTTGTGAGACAAACAGCTTGAAATGTCTTTGTTCAGTTCTTTGTTTTTTCTGCGAACATAGGGGATTTTGGGGCATCAAGATGCTCTTCCAGGTGCTTTTTTTGTGAAAAGGTGAAGCTTGCAGCAGCGTATCCTGACAAAAGCTAGGTGACGACAATCAGACACTCTTCGAAACGTCCAGATAAAGACGCTCAAAAGACATCCCAAAAACACTTCCATGTGTTGGAGGACCAGATTGTGCGCTTCGGCGGCCAAACTGACGGATTCCTCCCATGGCCGGAGAAGATGGCTACAGAGACAGACAACATCGAGAGGACGAAACCGGGGCGTTCCGAGAACAACTTTGTTGCGAGCACAGAACAACAGCTGCGTTGCGCACAGGAAGTTCACTTAAGTTGAGATAGACAATTTGTCTGATTTGTTGAAAGCCCGCTCTGACTGCGACTCAGCAATTAAGAGCTTCAGCTAAACTTGTACGCTACTAGTAGCTGGGACGCAGCATAGCTCACCCTCGCACTTTTTATTTGGATCCTAGATTCTTAAGGTTAACTACACAGTGCTACATATAAGTTTGGATGCCCTGAGTATCTCTGAGTGACTGGAATTTCTGCATTTGACTCTAAAGACCGCAGATCCCAAGTGTCCGTGATTTGGATGCTATCGGATGCGTCTATTGGTGAGAGGCTGGGGTTTACCGGGCCTCACGTTTGACGGTGCGTCTGGCTGGCAGGACCATCCAGAAGACGCCGCCCAGCTGGGCCCGTGTTGGGTGTGGGAATGTGGACCTTTTACGCACACATCGACGTTCCTAGAGAAGGAGACTGAATATCTTGGCCAACATATGAGCTTTCATTTTGCATGAGGTTTTTACATGTTCACCTTTGGAAAAGCCGACCCCGTGGGTGTTCCACGGCGTCACCGTGTAACGTGCGGAGCTACGGACGATGGAAGCCGTCATCACAAAAGCCACGACATAAACTCATGGTATCATCATTGGCTTCAAGGGTATACGGGTGTGCTCCAACCCTGCACATGGGTGCCAGGTCTAGCTACTTCAAGTAATGCCCTTGTTACTAGTAGCTTAGTAGCTTCTTGCTACCAATAGCGATGCCCTTGTTACTAGTAGCTTCTTGCGACTAATAGCGATGCCCTTGTTACTACTAGCTTCTTGCTATATGCATGCCACATCGTGCCACACATTTTTTGGAGATTCGCTCCGTGCGCTTGGACCGAATTCGTCCATTAGTGGCGGCCCAAGGATTCAGAAGTCGCTGCACAAGATGCTGGGTAGTGGAAAGAAGGGTGGACCTGGTTCCATCAGCACCGGCCTGAGCAGCGATCAAGATACGAAGCTTGGCTTTGTCAAAGACAAGGATCCAATGGGTTTTGTTGGGATAGTTGGGAATCGAGAATCCATGGGGCGTTTCAGAGATTTCCACCATGTTTGCGCTACCCAAAGCTAGCAGGGGCCCTCTCCAGGAAGATTCGCAGAAGGATTTGATCTCAGAACAAATCCCTTTGAATGTTGCAAACAGCAACGAACATTCCCAATGTTGGCAGCGCTTCCCTCAACCTCAACCAAGGAGCAGCAGCCACCACAGCAGCGACCACAAGGATGATTGAGCAGATCGGCACGAGCAGTCAATTCCTGGTAGCCCATTCATTGTGGGGCTCCTCATCAAAGTCACCCCATTGTTGGTCCTGGTTTAAGCGGTTGCAGGGCACCAGGAAGCAAGATTTTGGCACAGCCATCGGGAAGCAATTGAAGCTTCGGAAAAGATCCTTTCATGTGGTGTTTGTGGCTGGGATCTTCCAAGGGCAGCCAATATATAACAATATATAACATAGACATTGTGAAGATACCTCTGATACGTTCTGCAAAAAAGCACTCGAAGACTCGGCGCAAATTGAACGCATGGGTCACATGAATACTTTGTGCTGTTGTTTTATTTGCATCATCGCTCATTTTTGTCAGATGCTGAGCTGCATGCATCCCGTTGAAACTTCCTTTCTGGGACTTGTCGGAAGCGATTCGCCCTTGTTCCGACGTGGAACTTCATGCTGACATGGAGGATTCCAGCCCACACTGGCCGTGAGGCCAAGCTTGAATTTAGGTTTCGAACACAGACATGCCGTCCAGGCCGGTTCCCTTCCAATTCATCAAAGTCGCTATTGAGAGCGGGCATGCTCCCTAGCGTTGATGGAAGAACTCCCGCACCAGCTGATGTCGAGGTAGATGCCTCAGGCACCTCAGGTGGTGCAGGATTTTTTTTCATCTTTTTGGAGCCGACTCGACCTCTTTCCTGAAGGATCTAAGAAGAAGTCATCAAAGGGAAAGAGGCGAACAAAAGAAGAGGTATGTATTTACATGTATGTACTTGTTAGTTATGCACCGTTGCATCCGAGTTCAGACAGTGGCAATCAGCTGGTTTATCATTTGAACAACGAGGCTCCGTAGCTAGCAAGTGTTGTCAATCCCCACCACTAATCGTGGTGTTGGGATGCGGTCGTGCTTTGACGTCCATTTCTTCGTTACCTGAAAATATATATTCCACTGAATTCGATGCACTTCACCTGAAGAGGCACTCACCTCCAGAGATGCAGAGAAATATGGATTTCCTGCTTCCTTCGGCGTTGAGAAACCACTCCGCCTGATCGGGTGTACACTTAGACAGGGAGCAGGAGCAGGCAAAGAGCTGAATTTGCTGTCAACACATGGGGCATCCTGACAGCATTCTACTCATCCAGGGAGTCCACTTGAACTTCCAGCAGCGCAGCAGTTCTGGGGCTGGTTTTGGATCCTTACCCAACATTGGATCCCTGGTTCGTGGATGGTTGCTTTCTTTGCAGCGGAGGTTTGGACAATAGGCCTTCCAACCGACGCTTTCATGATGCATGATGCATATACATAGCTATGCATTGCCTTTTTTCTAAATAACTTTGGGGCATGCATTGTGCCAAGCTGCTTACATCGCCACTTTCCATACTCCCTATGCTGAGTTTACATCGTTTACGTTTGAAATGATTGTCGAGCTTGTTCCCAGTTTAGAAGCAACCTCGGGGACTTGGTAAGCATGATGACTTCAGTAAACAAGTCGACGGATGACTTTGAGTTTTTCTAAAAGGCAATTACTGAGTCCCGTACTACCCCTCACGCTTGTGATGAGGATTTGAAGTTTTCTTTTTTTATGTGGAACATGGGGCAGCGACCTCCCACATGTTTGCTATTGCCTAACTACTGGATCCGAGGAGAAAACCTGTGAGCTTGCTGGCTTGACGTCAGGGGTTTGAGCCAAGTTTCTTCGACAAGTGGGTCATGAAATGTCATGAATTCCAGGGATTTGAATCAACTAATGGAACCAAGTGATGGCACATAAATGGCCTCAAGGGAAGGGCCAGACATTTTGTCTGAGGCCATGCCTTGTTTGTGCGAGCATCGCCGGCCACTGCAGCCATTTTCGAAGACTATAAGACTCAAAAAAAGCTGACTGATCGTATTCCGCGGGGAAGATTTGAGAATTTCCGTAACGAGAGATGAAGTCTCCCGCAGTTGACCAAGAAGTCCCACAGGACTGAAGTGAGTGAGAAGACCGCGTAGATTTGTGTCGGGCGGTTTTCGAGTCGACCAGAATCCAGTTTCTCTGGCGGAGGCCATTCCTATCAGGATGTGTGTGTGTGTGTGTCGGATGCACCAGACAGCCAATGGAATGTCAAAGACGGACCACGCAAAAAGCCAGCGATTGGTATGATTGGTTTAGTATATGAATCAATTTTCTGTATACTAAAGTCACTACATGTCATTGGTATGATTGGTTTAGTATTGAAATTGTATTGGTTTAAAGATGTTTAAAGTCACTTTTTCATGTTTTCTTAACTTTCAGAAAAAGTGCCGGGCCGCAACGGCATTCATGCCTTGCCTACATTTGCCTCCGGGATCGTTACCGGCCACTTGAGTTGATTCAATGTTCCCGGATGAAGTGGAGTCCCACATTCTGTGGATGCTGAGGTATTTGACCTCTAAGCCTATCCACGTCATGGGAAAGTTGGTAACAGTTCTTACCGCAATCCTATCAGCATAAAGTTGGCCTTTGGCTTGCCACATGTGCTCCCCCTGCCTATTCGGGCCGCTTCCTCGCCGGCGAGGAGCAGGATTCCCGCGAACCTACGGAAGTCTTGCAGACGGTGGTTGCCGGTGGTGCAGAAGATGACACCCTGTCCGTGGTGGATGAGGCAGTGAGTGATGCAATGGACTCGGATTTTGGAGCCGGCATTGATCCCGAAGGCCAGCTAGGGCGAGCACGGGAGAATGAGGGCCTTTTGAATCCTCTTGAGGCTTTTGCAGAAGAGGTGTTTGGCAAAAGGGGGATGCTCTAAGGCTGTCAACACAGGTTCCGGCGAAGGCCTACTGTATCATATCCTCTCATCATGGCATGTGATGTCCAAAATTCCAGTGGGTAAAAGAAAGCTAATCATGCTCAGAGAAGAGAGATTGCTTTAGACTTCCCCTGGAAACCTTGGGAGACTTGGACCGACTTGAATCCTGGGTTCCGACCTGGTTTGGCCGAGGGAAGCAACAAGTCGGTGACGGGGCAGCGGGGTTCGGCGAGACGATGAATCAGCTGGCCTTGTCGGGGGACTCAGGCATCATGGAACCATGAACAAGGTTGCAGCGCCTGTAAGGGGCGGTGTGTTGGAGTGTTTTGTTGAAGTTGTGTCTTGTTGATATCTTATTCTAATTTTCCCACGTGTTTGGATGTTTTTGGATTGAATAGACCGAACAGGTTGTTTCTTTTAAGTGGAAGTGCTGTAAGGGTTGCTCGGAAGGTTCGATTTTAGGTGTTTTTGCTGCAGTGTTGAACACTTTTGGATAGAGTGCTTTTGCGGTCCTAAGTTTCGGAGGAATTCGTGTCTCATGTTGGGTGTGTATCAGCTAATGGAACTATTTTCCCGTTGTCAATTGCCAATGAGAAAAAAATAAGAACTTCTAATTACAGTGAAACCACATGCATTGCCCTTATATCCGGCCAATCCAGTTGCTAGTGATTTAAACCATGTGCCTCCCTGGAACTTTCAGGCAAGACCAGGTCGTTCTCCGAGACTGACGGAATTTAAGTTGCCCCTGTTGCCCCTGAAGCTCGGAACGGCGCAATGTAGTTTTTGCCGCAGTGTATCCACAAGCATCGCGCCGGCGTAGCATGTGAAAAACGATGGTTATTACCCCTAAACCCCCACCCACCCCACCTACACAAGCTGCAAACAAAATGACCGGTGACCAGGAAAAATAAAAACCTCTCAAAACCTCAGAGGGGACCCAAATGCCTTCAAAATTTTCGGACTCTCCTTGGGTCCTTGGGAGGAGGGCCCCAAAGAGCGTGCAATCTCCAGGTCTTCGACCGAAGCCACCGTTCTACGCCAATCCTTTGACATGGTCTTGGCAGCCTTGGGGAATGACCGCGAGGCCTTCGGGAACGACCAAGCGCCGTGTCGCACGCTGGTTGCGGGCGCCTCCGCGTGGGTGCATCTCCGACGGGGTTTCGGCTTAGCTCGGGGTGTTTCGGGGAACTGGTAACAAGTTCGTTCATTGACTATAGGAGGCCAGCCAACTGCACTGGTTTAAGGTGAGCTTAAATCCCTGCCCCCATACCGTGAGCTGGTTCCTCCTGCAGACCCCATAAATCATCAAGCTCTTTAGTTTTGTTAATTTTGGTTTCACCTAGGCCTAGGCCTCGTAAAAAACATGTAAAACATGTAAAAGCAATAACGCGGGATTGTCTCAAGTTACTAATTATAGTTATTGTGATTGTGTGTGGTTTTTGTTCTCGTTCTCCTGTCCACAGGAAGTTGGAAACCGTTTGGATTGCTCCGGATCGTTTGCTTGCACGGAACTCGTTACTTGTAGTTAACAATATAAAACACCCGGTCCGGCAAGGCATTGGGTGATGCGATCTACGGTTTGAAGATTCACGCACTGGTGGCAATCAAGGAGCTATGGGACGGGTCGATGTGTTTGCTGGTGGAAGGGTAATGAGGGCGCCAGGTACGATGGAAACCTGAAAGTAATGGGAGCTAATCATCGACAGTAATTGGACTATATTGGTGTATGATTTAGTTTGTTTTGAACCTTGGCGGGTGAATTGATCATACCCCTGCACAGGGTGGAGATAATGGGCTGCGCACAGGGCGAGCATAATCGAGTATGAGAGAATATGGGGGAGAGTTTTTTTGAACTTCAAAATGTGATGTTGTGAATTGTACCTCCCAAACATGGCACCATATGGTGCCACGGCTTCAGAAACCAATAAACCAGCTTCAGCAACACGTTGCTTTTCCTGACAAAAATCATGCAAAAAATATCATTGAGTGCAGACATAGCGAAGAGGCAGGGTGCAATTGCGGGCCTAGCTTTCACAGAAAAAGTGACCGATCTCCGCCAAAAGTATTGAGGTTCCCAGAGAGGTGTGATGACTTAGTCAACTTGGGCAGTCTATTTTGAGTGTTCGTTGCCATGGTCTTCTCTGTGTTTTCTTGGCTTCCGTTGAAGCCAAAAAAAGATGGCACTGGGTAAAAGACTGCAGGCTTTAACGTCGCATGCTTGGGTTCAGTTTAATGATGAACAAATGGCGTGTTTCAAGACATCTTGAACATTGAGGTGCCCAGATGTACCTAGTATGAGGGGGAAATTTGCTAGGTTATATACCGTGTTCCCAATCCACCGCATTCAAGTGTTGTTTTGTCGAGAGCCGGCCGCACCGGCCTTGTGTCGCCAGGAGAATTTCACAACGCCCCGCGCAGTGGTGTCCCTGCGCTTTTTCAATTGCTTCCGCCTGCTCCTAGAGAAGGCTGAAGACCCCAACGAGCTGAAGATCTATGTGGAAACCTTGGCCTTCAAGCTCCTTGGATGCGAAGATATTGATTCCTGGGGATGGGCTGGGTACGTCGGATGAGTTGTTTTTCTCCTGAACTGTGCCATTTTGGCATTGAAGATCGGACGCCACAAAGTCTCAGGAGGCGCAACCATCGATGATTGCATGATATATCAATATTTGGCATGATATGGCTGCTGCCCAGTAAAGGTGACATGGACATGGCACGTCGAAAAGCACCCCCTCCCACGCACTGATGTGCGAAAGGTCGTCGATGTCGATTTCTTGAGGCATTTGAACAATGAAATCACCGAGCAACGTGTGGAAGCAGTACAGGATGCTTTCAATGAGCTCATGGTGCAGAATGTGCAGCTCGAAATGACAGAAGGAAACCATGGGAAACCCGAGCAACCGGAGTCCTGAGTGGATCTGTTACGCAGATGTTAGAAGCCTACAAACTGGCACGAATTCTGTCTAGGCAATTTTTTTTTTTTTCCTCACCGTTTTGGCCGTTCAAAAATGGATGGACCAGGCCCAATCTGCCGCCGGGCACCGCCGCTGCCTGGCGGAAGTTGCTGAGCTACACCGGCTCCTGCTACAGGTGCCGCAAGCGGGTGAAGTGGGGAGTGGAGAAAAGTCGTGGCACACGGCTACTCAACAGTGACACGAGGACAACTGCTGGTCGTTCAAACATGGTTTCATTCAAAGTTGACTCAACCATAGGGATAGGGTGCCATCCAGAACCCAGTGGCATCCAGTGGCGTCCGGTAGAAAGGACACATATATGGACACATCATCTCATCTCCGGTTTCGCTGCGTGGCGGTTCGGAGCCATCGCCCGGTGGCGCGGTGGTGAGGTACGTGGGCGACACCTACGGGGAGCGCCTTCGAGTGATCAAGGCTTGGGATCCATGGGTTGGTGCAAGGTGACCCCATCTCCATGATATGATCATGCTGAACGCCATGGTGTTCCGCAATGGGGTGGTTGTTGTGCTTGAGTTGTGACCGCCGCTGGCGGTGGAAAGATCGTGTATCAAACCTGCCGAGGACTAAACGTACTGCTGGCGCCAATACAGTCTGCCCCGTTCAGCGAGTTGTGAGAAAGACGCCACTGTCTCACTGGTGCGGTGTGGTCGCAAAATCGAGATGAACAGTCAGCACTGGAGTCGAGTCTAGTTGCTGCGTGCACTCCGACATACTCCGACAAGCACCGACTTTGGGGATCCACTGGGCTGCCTGGGGGTCCAGGGTGGTCATGAGAGTCCAACGGATTTGGACTTGATCATCTATCATCTACTGTATATAGGCTAGCGGCTAGCCTGGTCCTTGTTTACTTGGTGCCTTGAAGTGGGGTGTTTGATACTTGAAGACTCCCGAGTCAGCTTTTTGCCAGCCAAGTGAGCGACTTTCGTGAACCTGTCCAGGAAGATTGGGCTGCCGTTCAGAAGTCTGCTACGGACGATCGGAACAAGGACGAGACCAAGACTAACGCGGGCGACAACGCCAACGCGGGTGGTGGAGACAATGTAAATGCAGACGAGGCGAAAGAAGATGACACCGCTGACGCTGGGGCCGAGACCTTCAGCTTTGGGCGGATGTGCGCTTTCAGCAACGAGGTCATGGGACAGAAGACTGAAGGCAGGGCAAGGCATGCAAGACGAGAGAAGTAAATTGGGCGAACAATGGGCGAATACTTGGAATTTGAATACATGTCTCAGTGTCTCAGAAATTATCATTGCGGGCATTGCTGATTTGAGTCAGACTTGCCGCTTGTTTGAGTCAGAGGCTGTGCGCCGTTGAAAGACATGTTTGCAACATGAGGCTGAGGACTAAGTGATTAAGTCTTTGTTCCGGTCCCACCGATGAGGCTGCCTTTGCAAACCCCAAGACATCAGCCAACCAGTACTGTAATGATGTTATATTTAAGATTATATATGTTACGATAAGTTATGCCACACACACATATAATATATATATAGACATATAAATATGTATGTACCTACAAACGCCGTAATGCACTGTAAAATTGTACGTATGTTTATCCACGCCATGTGCAGTCGTTTGTTTCCATACAATGGTTGAGGCTTGGCATTGCATTGTATTACGAATCTCGAATTTTGATGATTTGACATGATCCATTGTTGAATATACCTTTGCCCCTGCAGGGTGGATGTTGGAGCTCCTTGAGGTCTTTCATGCTCCTTGGCCATGATGGTAGAGTTGACGAGTTGACACAAAGCAGTCCTCCAAAACCCAGATTGTGGAAAGAAGATCCAGGACGATCCAGACTAGAGGGGTGAATCTGTGCAAGAGTCCGAGTACTGGAACGCCTCATTTGGCCCTTATCCCTGAAAAGGTGTTCTTTCAGTCTTCCAAACACCCAGATCTTGGTCGATATGATCTCGAGCCCTGTGCATTTGCAAGAGGACAGGCCTGATCGTGCTGCCCACACAGAAAAAAAGCTATGAGTGCTCGATCCGATAGTCTGATGTGTCCAGACACAAGGCTGGACTACTATGGCCTATAGAGGTTCCCTCGCAAGTTTTTGCCGTATTCTAGGGAAGCATAGAGGTTGAGGTTGAGATCACCACTTCGGTGCATAAAACAAGGATATACAGCTCAGCGCCACTACAGATGGTTAAAAAGCGTGCAGCTCTTTAGGCATGTGTCACTTTTACAGCTGGAGGGTTTGGCACCTTCCTTAAATGAGAAACACTTTCAACATATATCTTTATATAGTTAGGCTTTTCTATTTTCTTGCCGCTTTTATGGTTGCAAGTGGTTCTCAGAAGTCAGAAGTTCTATTGCAGCGAATGATGAAATCCTCCAACTAGGAGGCTCCCAAAAAGATTTCCATGATTGCCATCCACTAAGTTCGGGAAGGACAGGGTTGTCAAATATCGGAAGGATGGGCTCCTTTGGTGGTCCTTTCGCTCAACCACTGATGCGTTTGCTTGGGCTCTTTATGTTGCCAGGAGTGCGACTTATTGGCAATCAACTTGATTACCAAGTCCAACGTGCTTTGGCCCTGGGGGTGTCCAGAGCTGCGGAGAATTGGGACAGGCTCCATCAACTCTTTGCAAATCGGAGAATCTCAGAGATTACTTTTTTTAAAATCATCTAAATTCTGATATTGTGACACTAATGTGACAATGAGTGTGACACTGCTATTCCCAAGAATTCATTGTCGAGAATATAGAACCGAACTTGAAGATGGGTAGTATCGAGGAAGGAGTGGTGTTTGTTCTTGGTTGGTGCAACAAGATGCTAAGGAGATTCAAGAGTACTGGGTAATTATAGTACTGGGGCTTACTGCGGCTATGTTTGCGCATGCTGCGGCATTGTTTGTTGCTTTGGGATTGCTTTGGCCTCATGTCCTTTCAACGGAGTAATTCGACGCGCCGATCATACGGAAAACGCTTGGTAAAATATTGTGACTTCACCGGTCTAGAATTTGCTATTGAACTTGGGTCAACGGCCATTCAGGTTGTTCATCCATCGCTCACAACCCTAGCCATGTCTCCGAAACGAACACTCTAGTCACTTTAGTCATTGCTATCCTCGGGTTCATCGTTCCCCGCATGACATGGCCCCCTAATCAGCCAGACGTCGATCACAGTCTCGCTTGAAGAGCTTCGCTTCTCTCAGTCGATCGACTTTGACAAGTTCAAGCCGGTGATGTTGGCAGCATTGCGATCCTTGCCTCTTGGGCGTGAAGGAATCATATTCTTCAGCGACTCAGAAGCCATATGTATTGCCTTTATTCAGAATCTGACATTCAGAACATTGTTTGCGTTGAGATGATCCAGGGAACTCGGTCCTTTGGGATGAGTGTATAGTCACTATAGTCCTGACTAGTGGGTGTGATGTACCAATGAAACCTGCCCCCGCCTGCAGCCTCGCCACGGTGCCAACAAGGCTTCCGAAGCAATGGAGCACCTTGCATGAGACATCCTGGGAGTGGTTGTGGACAACTGTGGCACGGAACTTGAATGAGTCCACCATGAAGGCAGATGGAAGCGACCTGTGCGACGTGTGAACAAAGCAGAGATCAAGGAAGCGTCGTTGATATATGTTCCTGACAATGAGATGGAATGCCAAGAGACGCCCAGTGAAAAAGAGGGGTGTCCAACCCAGCAGGCTTCGACCTGTTTCGGAGAGTGGTGGAAGATTACAAGTAGGGTAGGGCCAAGTAGGGTAGGGCAAGTGAAGCTGCTTTGGTGTTCCTTTTGAAGGCCATGTTCCAGCAAAATGCTTTTTCAAAGCGTAAAGAGGGGTGTGCTCTCCTAGTGCACAGGGACCCCATTAATAGATCGAAGAGCGAGATCCAGCTCTTGATGTTGCCCCCATTGATGAAGAGCGCCGATCACTGGTTCCGCAGCAGGTGATTTGTAGAAGCAATGTTCGTCGCAAACTGCGGCAATCACTGCCCTCCTTTGATTTCATGGCGGTTCCTTCTTCGCAGGTGCGGGCCTTTAAGCCGTACAATATCCGCATGTTCTCCTCGCTGCAAGAGGAGCAGCTTGCTGGGAAAATCGCCGAGGTCGCAGGTAGCTGGTGATGCTGATGTTGCTTTTGATTTTCACCTGGGACTTCGTGGACGATATTAGATTATATTATATAGATGAACACAGACAGCATCCTTGCACTGAACAATATTACATCATGGGCAGATCTGGAAACGCTTCTGCAGATGGCTCTGACCACGTGGAACAGTAGTCATTGCTTGCAGTCCAGCGGGTTTGGTATGTCCATAGCTGCATCGACACTCAGGCAGCTGGACCGCTTCCGCAAGGACATCTTCACCGAATTCTTCGCGCGAAGCCAGGCAAGTCAAGACCTTTTCAAGCAGCCGCTTGGCACACGAATTGGTGCTGGAGACCTTCAGGATGTGCCTGGGAGGTTTGTTCATGAGTCAATATTAGTCGTATGAATGGGATCAAAGATATCAAAGTCTACCCTGAGGTCACAGACCAGGCTGCGCTACATTGCTGATCGGGTGCTGCAGTCCTCGTCCGACATGTTTCAAAAGAACAAGGATGATGCATGGCTTGGAGGGGAGAAACTGGACATGCGCGGTGCATGAGGGGACCTTTGATCTCAGAAGGAGCTTCAAAGAAACAACAACGTAGGATTGAGAGGGAACCAAATTGTAGTTTGACGAGCCTGGCCAGGAAACAAGCCACAAAACACATTGATATTTGCGGTGGACATTGATTTGTACATTGATATTTTGCGTTGTCGCCCACTGCCTGCCATATGAGACATCATTGGTGAAAGTGTGTGTGGGGGTTTAGGGCTTTCAGGTCCACATCAGGCATGATCTACAGCCTTGTTTCTTCAGGTTGTCGGGTGCCGTATGCAATGTGCATGTATTCTTGGCTCAACCACCCCAGCAACTACAATAGACATATGGTTGATGTCAAACTTAGTCGATCCTTCAGAAATGGTTGATGTCAACGGCACGAGAAACGAAGAAGCGACCTGGAGAACCGATGCGCTCTGAAAAACACTTACACCTAAAAACTGAGTGACTTCCATTTTCCTTCATCAACCACCCAAGTGGATTTCTCTATATAAGTCTTTTTTCCCCAAAACGATAAAAGCTAAACACCGAGAAGCGGAAACGGTTCCATGACTCAACGCCTCCTTTGACCTCTCCGTCGCAGCAAGGAAACCTTGGATGATCTCTCGGCTCTCGGTTTGCGTCACGTCGGTTTCTTCGAGCGAGAAAACTGGGGACGGAGAAATGGGGAACAAACAATGAATGTAGACTCTTGATGACAAAAAGCACCCCTCATTTGGATTGAGTCATATTGAATTATTGAGTCACGTTTTCATATGGGGTGTTGATTACTGTAAACCAACAGCTTGCATTGCTGACATTGTTCTTGGTTTTCTCGGGTGGTCTTTTGGGTGTTGCCGCGCAGACCAGTCCAGTTCTCTCATTCCGGTCGATTTTTTAAGACTTGGTCCTGGTTGGCGAGCTTAGCGCGATCTAGCATGTTCCTGAAGGCTCCGTGTACAGCGCGGTTGACACAATGCTTGGCAGTCGGAAACTGAAGGTCCTACATGGGATGAGTGCATGATGGTGCTGTCGAACACTTGAATCAGGTATTTGGAACACTGATCATTGGCAGAAGTAGGACAAACCTAGCATCACCTTCTATATATAGCGCGCAGCTCACTGCTATTTTTATACAAGCATGTCCGGGCTGTAAGACTCAGACTTGCCCTCCAAGACTGGAAATCTTGGCGCAGCTGCAACCCTGACAGTGCCAGTGCCCATGAACAGTTGCAAGTTGCATGTGTTTCTTTTCAAATCTTTTCAATGACATTTGCTCATCTCCAAGTTCCCTTCAAAAGTACAGTTCCACCGTAGCTGAGAGCCCCAACTCTCTTGTGGGTGCCAAGGCTATGGCATTCCCATTGAGCTCTTTGGACCCTTTGTGGAGGTTTGCGTTCAGGCGGGTCAGTTCAGCCACCATGCTCCTAGACTCCTAGTATTTCATCGATTGCGACAGCTTGCAAAGCGGGATTGACCTCTTGAAGAGCTCATCAGTCGTTGCTCCCCAGATTCAGGTGATGCACCCACTGATCCAGGAGTTTCCAAATGACGTGGTGTCCTGGCGTTTTCAGCTTTGCTTTTCATTTGGCCTGGCAAAGACTGTAAGAGGGATTTACCATTCAGACTCTTCTGGTTCTGGGAAGGGACATCCACTGAAGATTGGAGACGTCATGGTATGTTTGAAGCTGGAAGGCTTCGGAATGTTCCATGCTTAAGAACCGATGCCCGGTGGCGACGATGCCGATACATTTTGTTGGTGAATGTTGGTGACATATTGGTGGTTTGTTGTGAGTCCTCAACTACTTGCGTTTTGTTTAATACTAACAAAGTCAAATGCGTATTGTACTGTAAGTGGGTTTCTTGTTATCGCCTGTTATCACCCATGAAGCTACACGGCACTTCCCAACCCAGCAGCCGACCTACAGTTGACACCAGCAAAAAAGCAGAGTCAACATCAATCCGCATCCATCTCTGTGGAATTTCACGACTACTCCACTTTGTTTATATACTGTTTGTATCCATAGTTACTATAGTTTGGGGGGGTCGAACAGCAAGATTGTTCGAGTTCACCCTAAGTGTTCGACACCGAAGCAGGGAGAATAACCTGGGCCATCAACCTCCTCCCACCTGGAGAAGGGTAATTTGTTCAGAGGCCAGGGTGGCCAGGGTGGACTCCGATCACTTGTGGTGCCGTTTGTGGACCCGGCTGTCGTCAGTAGAGATGTCACGCAATTGTCGAGGTGGCTACTTTGCGTGATTTTGTAGGCCAGATAGCCCAGTCCCCACATAATTGCTGGCAGGTAGGTGCGACAGTTTCTTGTGCAGCACCTGGATTCTCCTTTCCTCCTTTCCCACAAGATTTTAAAAAGTAATAATCAACCAGGGGAACTGCCCAATAAATACGTACACACATGGCACACTGGCTGGATTGTGCTGCGGTGCCGCCTGTCTTGATATGATCCGAAGCCACAAGCAACGGCTGCGCCAAGTTGCTGACTTGCCGGTGTCTTGCTGGGTGTGTTGTTGACAGTTGTGAGAAATACTGTTACTACACTGTTATCTGAAGAAACAGTGAACCGATGCATATTTGCCCAGCATGTTGAAGAAGTTTGCTCATCGTGGGGAGAGACATGCCCCAGATTTGCCATTCAATTTGCCATGAGCAGTGGGACTGAGGAGAGTACCAAGCTTATTTGGTGCCCAAAGGACAGAGCGCATCAGATTCCAGACACTCAACTGAACAAGATTGGGAGCAGCTAACCTGCCTTACCCTGGTAGCAGGTCAGCTGAATATATGCTCAATCGGTTGGATGCAGGGGTGCTTTGCCATCGGATGGGGGATTTACAAGCTCGAAAGGTTCCCAAATGAATCCTGCAAGTTTCTGCAGGGTTGGCAGCATGTTTCATGTTTGAGCACACGCTCGCTGGCTCAAGACAGAGGCGGGCTGTGCGCACTTCACGTGATGTCTAGAGCTGAACCTGGCCTACGCCTCCTGAAAACATTCGGTGCGCTAGATTTCGATCGTGCATTGCCGTTGGTTGACCTAGTTTGCTACCAACGTTTGTTGTTGGTGTTGCGGAGCTTGATTTGATTTGAGACCTCCCACACCTTGATGGCGACTGCTCCTGCTGGATCCTCCACTGCTTCGGCCAGTGGGTACACTAGCAAGGCACACGAGTTGGTTCCCGAGTTCACGGGAAAAGCTGCAGACTACAAGGAGTACCGGAAGAGGCTGTTGTTGTATGAAAAGGAGATGTCTCTAGCTGGCCATGAAAAGGAAACGGTGTTCAACATCATGTGCACCTTGAAAGGTCGAGCATGGGAAATGGACCAGCTAGAGGGAGGTGGTTCGATCAAACTCATCCTGGATCGCTTAGACAAGATCTTCAAGTTTGATGCCATCACAGAACTTCCAGGTGATTTCGATAATTTCTTTGTGACTTTGGTTCGCAAGAGAAATGCCACTCTCCAAGAGTATTCCGGTGACTTCGAACGTGCCCTTCGCAAGTTGGAAAGTCATGGAGTGACCCTGCCCGACAAGGTGGTTGGCTGGTACTTCATGCGCCGTGCTGGCCTTTCAGTGAGTCAGCGGCAAATGGTCATGTCCACCATCGGCACTGAGACCTTGAGTTTGGAGAATGTCCGAAAGGTGATGAACTTCGTTCTCGGACAAAATAGTGTGCCGGATGGTCATGACAAGACAGCATCACAGCAGCGCTGGAGGCCACCTTTTGTGAAGGATTCCATCTACCTCGAGGAGGATGATGATGGTGGCTACCAGGACGAAGATGATTTCGCTGTGTTGTTTGCTGATGAGACCTTTTGGGCAGAAGACCATGAAGAGTATGACGACGATGAGAAAGATGCCGAGATCCACGTCATCTCCGACGACATGGCTGCCGAGTATGACGATGTGTTGGCTACACTGAGGCCAGACAGAAGTTGAACGCTCTTCGAATGTCCCGAGGGTACTACCCAGTGGTTGCACTGGTTCCTGAACAAGGCCAAGGAAAAGGCTATGCAACCTACTCCACGGGCAAGGGCAAAGTCCAAGAGCAAGGGCAAATCTGGAGGGAAAGGTCAGGGCTCACGTCAACAGCCCAAACCTCCATCGGCCAAGGCCAGAGGCTGTGCAGCTCTTGGTGCCGAGAAGTGTTTGAGATGCGGTCAAGCAGGCCATCGAGCAAAGAACTGCCCAGCAGTAGGGAAGCGCAAGGCTGACTCGAGCATTGAAGCAGACATCAACATGGTCTGTGATGAGGTGCAGCTGACCATTGACGAGAAGTCAGGTCGTTCAGATGACATTGCCACGATGGACTGTGGTGCCGGCAGTGTGCTCACTCTGAGGAACGCTTGAAGATTTATCTCCAGTTCCTCGAAGAGTCAGGCTTCAATGTCAGTGACATCCCTGTGTTTCGCTGCAAGAAGGGCTTTCGTTTTGGCAACGGTGAGAAGAACATCACTTCCGTTTGTGCTCACATTCATGGAAGGCTTGTTTGGAAGACCCTTGATGGAAGCTTTGGACATTACCATCAACTACGCCTCAGGAAAAGTGAAATGGGGTCGCAAAGCATGGATTGAGTCCCCGTGGGTCCCGAGGAGAGTTCGTCTGCCACATGGCCGCAGACATTGCCAAGCTGGCGAAGAAGGAGCCAGCAAAGGTGTTGCTGCCCGATGAATTGGATGAGCGAGCGCGTGCATCCTGAGATCCTGTCTGTCGACATGTTCTTCAATGGCGGCTCAGATGGAATGCTGAGCGAGAGTGAGGATGCCGTGAACAGTGTGATGGATGAGGCAGCGAAGTTTTCCCCTGCAGCCGAGAGAAGATTGGTTTGCAGATGGTGCATGAGGCATGTGAAAAGAGTGCAAGATCCTCTCTGTCTGGAGAGGCCATGCCGTTGAATTCATCGATTGAGACGACGCCACCTGCCGTCCTTGACGTTGAGGATGGAGAGGAGATTGTCACCGAGGAGGTCAAGTTGAGTCCAGGGCCACAAGAAAGTCAGAGCATGTCACCTTCCCCGTCAGAGAATCGAGATCCTCTCAAGCGATGACTCCTGCAAAACTTCGTCAGCTGAGAAGAGAGTGAAAGAGATTGAAGAAGTCCTGCAAGCCACTCCAGTGAAGACGACCTTTTTCATTGTGGGAAGTCTTTGCAGGTGAGGGTCGGGTGACAAAGACACATGTCGACGCAAGAACATGACTGCTCGTCGTTTTTCACTTTTCAGAAGACTGGGATTTCACCAAGACCAGTCACCGTGTGTCTTTTCTTCGACTGCTGCGAATAGAAGAGCCAGATGCTGCGCTGCTTTCTCCAACCTGCAAGCTGCATCCCAGCCTGGCTATGCAGAGAAGGAGCAGCGCATCTGGGACCATGACAATGTGCTCATGTTCTGCGCTGTGGTGTATGAGCATCAGCGAAGGCGTGGCAAGATTGCACTTTGTGAGCATCCAAAAGGTTCACGAGCCTGGTCAACACAAGCCTTTGAGTCAATGATTGGCTTTGATGCTCACGTTGATCAATGTATGTTTGGCTTGCGCCTCCTGAATGATGCCAATGAGATGTTGCCAGTTCAGACGCCGACCAACTTTCGTGTCACTTCTGAGAGTTTGCAAAAGCTGATGGAGAAGAAGTGGGATGGAAAGCACAAGCACGCTCATCTGGAAGGACACATCCCAGGTGTTGGCTTGAGATCGTGGCTTGCTGAGAGCTATCCCCTCTGGCAACACACATTGTGAATTGCATCCAGCGTGAACTGAGTCACTACGACTACATCCTTGTCCTTGCCGCTGAAGAGGTACCTGAATCCATAGGCGGTGTCCACACGCAGTCTTCACCTGCACCTTCAGCAGGTGAACAAGCGCTTCAACCTCAACAGCTGGAGACAGAACAGTTTCAGCAGCTGGATCCGATCAGGAAGAACCGAGCACTTCGAGCTCAAGTTGGACCTCGCGCAGTTGACTACGTCCAGAGGCTTCATCGCAATCTTGGCCATCCTGGCTGGGAAGTTCTGCGCAGGATGCTTCGTGAGATTCAAGCAACAGACAATGTGTTGTTGGCTGCCAAGTTCTACACTTGCCCCTTGGGCTGTGCTCGAAAGCCTCCAAAGCAGAATCCACCTGCATCTGGACTGAAATGCACAGAGTTCAATGATCGCATCCTGGTTGACAGTCACTGGATCTCCTGCGAGGACAGTGTTGTGAAGGAGAGAGTTCCGGCCCCAGGAACACCAGCTGCTCGCAGACGCGAGAAAGACAAGAAGGAGAAGCGACCAACTGGTCGTCAGTGTGTCCTCACGATCATCGACCATGCCACTTGGTACTGTGCCATCCGAGTCTTGCAGTCAGAGAAGGCGAAGGAGTTCACCAAGGGCATTGAACGGTCGTGGATCAAGCATTTTGGTGTCCCTCGTGTCCTTCGCATTGATGAAGCCAAAGGATGGTCCAGTGAGCATGTTCGTGATTGGGAAATCCAGAGAGGAATCACCTTGGAGGTCTTGGAGCTGTACATGGCTCAAAGTGATGATCACTCCCTGTCGTCTCTAAAAGAAGCTGCTTTGTATGTTCCACACTCCATCAACCAGCTTTCATTTCACAATTTCACAAAGGCTTCACCTCAGCAATGGGTCCTTGGCAAGTCCATGAACTACCTCCATGGACCGAGTGGTGAGTTTTTCAATCCTGCTCAAGAAGCAATTGATGAACCACTTGCTTTCGCTGCTGTTCAGGCAAGACGTGCTGAAGCTGCCAAGGCATTCATTCATGCCGACAGTGACGCCAAGCTGAGGAGGGCCTTCAATCAAAAGTTCTCTGAGATGCAGGAGGAACTGGTGATTGGCCAACAGGTCTGGTTCTGGCGCAAGAACTTGACGCAGACCAGCTCGAATTGTCGCGATTGAAGAGCAGCGAGATGTGAATGTCTACTGGCTATGCCATGGAACGTCTTTGGTTCGTTGTGGCCGCTGGTTGAAGTTACTGGGATGCCGGTGGTTGTTGATCGCAAAGCCGCTCTCCGTGATCTACAGGAGCTGAAGGCCAGATCGACCACACAGTTCAAAGATGAGCTCAAAAAGGCTGGCATGCATGATGACACAGCCGACCTTGATGGTGATGATGTTGAGCTCGATGCCAGCTACCAGCCTGAAGCCATGGATACCTCTGATGAGGAAAAGAAAGATGATGCTGGTGATGAAGATGATCTTCGTGAAGAGCTACCCATTCCTGGAGTGGTCAGTGTTTTTCTGCCACAGTTGGAGACTTCCCATGATCGTGAACGAACACCTCGTCGCCGAGAGTCAATTCAATCGACCTTGGCACCTCCAACTGAGACAGATGAGCCACCAGCACCATCAAGCCCAAAGAGAAAGAGTATATAATAATGAAGAGGGCATCGAGAGAGAAGAGAAAGTTGCAAGAAGAGGTACATCCCCTTCGCCAGATGTCCTTGTCACCAGCACCCTGATGATGATGATTTGATCCTTGAGGATCACAGAGCTGCCAGCAGATGCTCCAGAAGGCTGGCGAGTTGTTGACGGGCGCATTGAAATGGATGATGTCTTCATGACTGCACTCCGGGACTCCGGAAGGGTGAGAGGTGATTGAAAGGAAGCTTTCTCCAGAAGATAGGCTGAAGTTCGTTGAGGGCAAGAAGACTGAACTCGATCAGTACTTCTCAAATGCCGTTTGGCAAATTGCCACTGAAGGCGAGATTGAGAATGCCATCAAGTCGAAGCGTGTCATCACTGCACGTTGGGCGTTGACGTGGAAGAAAATTGAAGAAGAAGATGGCGCCGTTCGCTGGAAGGCGAAGGCTCGCTTAGTCCTTCGTGGGTTTCAAGACCCTGACATCCTGCAGATGAAAACAGCTTCTCCAACAGCAGGGCGAATGTCGAGAACTTTCCTGCTGACAACTGCTGTTTGGCATGACTGGCAGGTTGTTTGTGCTGATGTCAAGGCGGCATTTCTTTCTGGCAAGAGCTTTGATAGAACTTTGGCGGTCCGCCTTCCCATGGACTGCCTTCCCTTGATTGAAGGAGCTTCCAGAGCCACCTACCACAAGCACCTCTACATGAAGATGCTGAAAAGCGCTTATGGCCTATGTGATGCCCCCCCTCTTGTGGTACGAAGAAGCCGCAGGTCGACTTGAGAAAAGAAATTGGAAGCGACATCCCTTGGATCAATGCTGCTTCCTCCTGAAGTCAACTCAAGGGTGCCTCGTCATTGGCATGCTGATTCTGCACGTGGACGACATGCTGGTAACCGGGCCTAAGAATGATGATGAGTTCAAGAAGGCTATCAAGAGCCTCCGAACAGACTTCAACTTTGGCAAGTGGGAAGAGTTGAGCCCCAGTCAGCCGCTGAAGTACTGTGGTGGCACCATCCTGAAGACTGATGCTGGGACGAAGTCTCCTACGAGGAGTATGTGAAGAAGATCTGCCCAATGAACATTGGGAAGATCCAGTCTCAGCTCAGGAGCTCAGCGCAGCTAGAGGGCTAATTGGAGCTCTCCAATGGCCAGCTACTCAAGGCATGCCGATCCTTTGTGCAAGCATGTCGATTCAGGCTGGCGAGATTCCAAAAGGGACGGTCAAAGATTTGAAGGAACTCAACAAATCACTTCGGTTCGCAAAGCAGCACGCCAATCTGACACTGAAGTTCATGGCAAAGAATGGCAAGAAGAAGAATGCCTCATTGGAGGGGCTTTGCCTGCAGGTGTGCTATGCGGATGCAGCCTTTTGCGTCCGAGCGGACAAGACAAGCCAAGGAGGCTTGTGATCTTCGCATGTGACAAAGGAGTCTTGCATGGACAGAAATGTCCAGGTTCGATCGTTTCCTGGCGCTCCTTTACAGCTGATTGTCAAGCATGTGCCACTGCCCTTGAGGAGCTCATGATGATGAAGACCTTCCTACAGGTGCTCAAGGAGCCTTGCCGAGATCTCAAGAAGATCAAAGATGGCCTCACTGGCGAGAGTGCAATGGTGACAGATTGCAAGGCACTCTATGACTCGGTCCAAAGAGAGACAATCCAGCAGGCAACGGACAAACGAGTGGCCATTGAAGGCTTGGTCATAAAGGACCTGCTCCGTGACCTGAAGTGCCAGTGGCGATGGGTTAGCTCGGAGCGCCAGTTGAGCGATGGCTTGACTAAAGTGGGGGGGCAAGGCAAAGCTTCGTTGAGCGCAACAAGGGTGGCTACATTCGCAAGAGCAAGGAGCAGCGTGCAGAGACAGTCAAGGAGAAGAGAACGTCTCGATCAGAGATTGCCAACTTCCTCGTGGCAATCGTGATGGCTGCAAGTGTGACTGAAGTCAATGGACAAGGTGATGATGGCTGGAACAGCTGGAACAGCTTTGATGCAGCCTTGATGTTTACCGTGCTGCTCGGCATCTTGACGATGCTGTGGATGATGTCAGAAGTGATCTCACGCTTCTGTACAAGAAGAAAAGGTGAAGATGATGAAATGGAAGTACCCAAGACAAAGAAGATTGATGATGATGACAAGAGCCCAAAGAGAAATCTTCCAAATATTGAAACGGAAGATGGTGTGACAGAGCATCAACAGAAGTTCATGGAGGTGTCGGACCAACTGGACTACATCCGCAATGAGCGAACAAGAAAGTTCGTTTGATGATGCAAGAAAGGCAGCAAAGCCAAGGGGACAAGACCTCACGGTCCTCGTCGTCGAATGACGATGTTGTGATTCATCACTCCATATGGAGAGTGCTGGCACGCGAATCCGAAGTGTGCTGGACCTGGTGGACAAGGTTATCGACCTTGTCGCCGATGCTGCCATTGATTTGCACCCCCTTCCCTTTGTGTCAAGTTTCTGCAAGAAACCGAAGGGTTGGCAGCATGTTTCATGCTTCATGTTTGAGCACACGCTCGCTGGCTCAAGACAGAGGCGGGCTGTGCGCAATTCACGTGATGTCTAGAGCTGAAACTGGCCTGAGCCTCCTGAAAACATTCGGTGCGCTAGATTTCGATCGTGCATTGCCGTTGGTTGACCTAGATTGCTACCAACAAGTGTTGAATCCAAATGATCCAAAGGTTAAAGGTGCACTATCCTTCCACCTTCGTACATGGTCCCCAAAGACGCTGCTGTAAGGAGAACGAGATGCCCGAGCACATGATGATCGAAGGCTTTCGTTGGTCCATCGGCCACGCGGCTCTGTAAAACATCCTTGGAGGCATCACGCAGACACACCCATCCTCATCATATTCCTACCCAGGACAATGTGGATCACCTTTAAAACCACGCATTTTTTTGTTCCGGGGGCGTGGGGTAGGATGGATTTAGCTTTCCGAAACTAATTAAAGACGTACAGCGTGGAAAGTTTGGTGCAAAGCTCGGGAGTCAGTAATATCATATTTACATTCCAACAATTCGTTCGATGTCGCCGGATTTTGGCCGGGAAAAACGGTCGTTCTATTCGATGTGGCTCGCCCAGCTGTGCCGCTGGGGTATTGACATCTTCTGCCAGTACTCCCTGGAACTTCCTGCTGGTAATGTAGACTATTGCAATTAATAAACTCTCTCCAGTTGAATTGAGCAGTTCTCTTCAGATGAGGGGGTTTATAAATCAAGAGTTTACATTAGTGCGCAGGATTGCGTAAGGTAGTTAGTTGAACCAGTGCATCCCAGCCCATGCCGCCCAAAACCCAAAACCGCACATGCCCCACTTGCCGTTTGATCTGGCGGTTTTTATTCATCGCAGAACGGCATGGGGTAACCTGACTCCTTCAAAACTGTTTCATTGACACCTACCACTCAGTTACCACTCAGGCTTGACTGCCCGTGTTCTGGTGCGTACCATTATGGATGGGTCAACGGCAGTGATGCAGCTTGGCTGTTCATTTTGCCCATCGATGCCTTCAGAACGTTGTCTCAGAACGGCGAGCACATGCAGATGGCATGGATAAGTCAACTCCGGTGGTCAATGGTGATCTGCCGTATGATCATGTATGATCCAGATCTGTCATTCGGTGTGTGAAAACACCGGCAAAAAAACCCGGATGGTAGGACACGAAAGACCAATCCTCAAAAAAAATTTAATGCATGGGGTCAGAAGATGGTGAGTTCCCACTGTAACTCAGTGATTCATGTTTCGGGGTGGCTGTGAACATGGAGCCCGCTTCAGGCCTCCTACCAATGCTTTGAGTAACTCCAGTAACAACTCCTTGACCCGCGAGACTGGCACTGAAACCTCCAGATTCATCATGATTCCCTTCATGTCAGCCACCGTTTTTTTCCCGGGAAGACCCCAACAAATTCCTCATTGTTCGGTTCAGGCAGGCGGTTCACTTTGATGATTCCAAGCGTTTGCGCCGTGCGTTGATGGATGCTCCTCGTGCTGCTCGTCATGGGACATGTGACGGGGTGGGGGGGAGCAAACGGTTTCTGAGATGATGAAGCCAGCAAACGCACAGCGCTGAAGCTCAATACAACTAGTATCAAAGGTTTCTGTGGGGATCGTTGTTGATGATTCGTGTTCTTCCAGGTCAATCCGAAAGAACTCCCACCAGGACTCCGCCACCATAATGCCATCATTTGTTGCGCGTTTGGTGTCTCATTAGAGCCGCCAATACATAGCAATAGGGCGACTTTATAGGGATCAATCCTTGGATCATGAGAGTGTGCCCACCTTCCAACGAAGAGGTGACCAATGTCCGATGTTTTTCCGGATGAGGTGGAACGTTGCGTGTGGCAGCTGGCGGTGCAAGTGGGCAGTCAATCGATCTCGCCACTCTTCTGGGCTTTGAGGAGATGCCAAGCTTTGCCCAGTGCTTTCATCCACCCCGGATGGGTCCTGGCAGAACAAAAACGAGCCAAATCGGGTGTGATCCGGAGCATTGTGAATCAACAATTCTGATGTTGAAACACCCCAAGACTGCTGGTGAATTCGCAAAAACTGTGTTGGTTTCCAATCTGAACATTTTTACAAGAGGAGTCCTGCTTTGCTTCTGACAGAAGACAGTTTTTTGACGACATTGATTGTTGATATATTATATTATAAAACAACATAAAACAACTACATATGCATAATATATTATATATATTTATATGTGTGTGTGGTCCTTTGTTGGGTAGCCTTAATGTCCTTTCAGAGGTTACTCGCATCACTAGTCCAGTTTCTGCCAGGAGCGGGGCTCATGACACTGCAAAGACGATGATCGAAGACGTGCTAACCATTCGAGCTGAAGCTTGATGTTAGATCTTCGAAGAAGAGGCGGTGTATTCCAGTACTTGAAAGTTCAGTCAAAAGCCACATGGCCACGTCTTCAAGTAAGAAGCCAGCAAACAGCAACGAAAATTACCCTTGGATCCATTGGTTGTTGGGATCATTCGGGATCCCTTTTTTGGAGACAACCTCAGGTTCGATAGATTTATATAGATGTATTGATAATCCTTCACAGTCACAGGACTGCGAGTGATGAGTTTGACATAGTGTGACCGTGACTCCTCCTTCTCCGGAGCGAAAACCAATCGCGATGCGTACGCCATGTGTGTGCCTGGCGCCAAGGACAGGGACAACTACTACTTTGGAGCTGATGAGCTCTTCAAGTAGCCCCACGGGGAGTCCCACGGGGCACAAGGGACATGATGGTTCTAAAGTCTCAGGGCCTGGGCATGCCTAAGAGACCAATTGGTGCCAAATCGAGGGCAGGGTTTCAGTGAACTTCAGTGAGACATCACCTAACAAGTTGAAAGACTTTTGATATGCTTTAGAGGGGTGCTAAGATATGATCATGTTTATCTCCATGTGCTCGTGTATTTCTCCGGTAGTGGGGCCCCAAGACAGCGGCGTGACTGCAGCATGCAAGTGTCATGGCATTTGACAGCGGAGGTACCAGCCCAACATCGCAGACAACGTCTTGCGCGAGGCGCCCTTCCTGGCAGAGACCTTGTTGGATGGATTGATTTGGCGGTCGCACAAGAGCAAGGACCGGTGGATTTTGTTCGGTTCAATATCCAAACACGGATATACACGGATACTGTAAACACGGTCAGAAAATGTTAGACATCGCGGCTGGTCGTGTTTGCGTTCTCCCTCTACCACGCGTTGCCGTGGGACAAGGTACACAATACTGTGGACCTTACTCAGATTGCTTTGGATTTCTCACACATGCACCAATGTTATCCAATGTTCACAAATTGAATAGAGTGGCAATGTAGGAATGCACCAATGGTTGGATCATGCGCCACCACTCTTTTGCGAGGACAACTTGCGCCCAGTGATCTACTATTTGAAGCACCTGTTGCAAGACATGGATGAAACGAAGATGCTCTCCCGGGCTTTGATCAGCTACATTCGCTTCGACCACCCTCAGACGATCATGCATCCAATCCTCGCCTTTTCATTGGACATGCTTTGGGACAAACTGGTGCCTTGGGCGAAGTGTGGTGTGGTGTGTGCTTGTGCCTATATGTTGGACCAATCAACTCACTGACTGTCGTGGACCACTGTGACATCAGAAGGGTGTGCCCCAGCAGAAGTTCGCCCAATGGCCCAAGGCCTTGCGCTACTTCATCATGGACCGCATCCTGACGATCTTCAACTGCTTCATCTTCATCATCGCCGAGTGTCCCTCAACTGCAGCGGTAGTTCTGGGACTCGAATTCCTGAATTTGGCTAAAACACGTTGAAGTCTATGTTCATGCATTTCCCTAAGTTGCCCATGGCAGTGCCCATGGCTTTCCCAAACGCAACACCGAACGAGAGGAACGCGAGGGAAACCTCGCCGCGCTCCTTGATGGGTTCGGACATGTTTTGAACCTGTCAAGCTTGCCACGACGATGATGTCCTGTCCCGTCCAGAGGCATTCTGAACCATCCAGACCTGCTGGAGGACGCCACGTGCCTTGGCGAATGCGCACGCTGAGGGCTAGGCTAGACGATCATCCTGGAGTAGATAGAAGCAGAAGATGTTCCGTTTCAAAACCGTTTTTCCTCCAGTCAGGATGTTTAGATAGTTGGAAATTGGAAGTGTCTAGAAGACGGCGGCCGATATACATATCGGGTCATCAGGTGCTCCAGTTCCACGATCTGGGAACCTGTGCGCACAATTGCGCAAACGGCAATCGGTGGTTAGGGTTCGTTACGGGGTGGAGAGCAACTAGCACCATGCCAATTCACACCAGATCATTGCCCAAATGATCCGGAATGCAATTCATTCCAGCAATTCCAAAAGCCGAGAAGATGACACGGTGACACGGGTTCGAGTGCCACACCCAGTATGGCCGCCGCACCCGCATGCATTGATGTATATTGATGTTTAATGCGTTTGTGTTTAATTCCTGGCAGTTTCTTGAGAATTTCTGTTTGGCTTCATGTGTTTGGCACTCCGAGGTTCAGTAAAGTCTTAGCGGCGGCTCGGATCTTGGTCTACACTGTGGGCTTTTTGCGCTTGCTCTACTGGCACGTCTCTCAAACCTTCATCGCCTACAGGTCCAAGGCGCAGTTGCAGTTCGTAACCTTGCAGGGTGTGGGCCAATGCATGCTAGAGCTGGGTCACACGAGACACTCTTGCCCGGCGTGTTTGTTTCCATTCCATACCAAGGCTGAGAGATCAGAGCAACAATGTCCTTTTCTTAGTGTCTTAGTGGTCCACTTTGGGTCATTTTGTGCCTTGAGATGCTCATTCGTCAATTAATAGGCCACAAGTGATTGGCCATTTGAATGCAGGAACTTCTTGGACAATCCATCTCGCCCGCCCATCGTTCACACTGGTCAACTCGTTCTCGAAACGGCCCCTTTCGTGCGTTGAAGGCGTTGGTGAAAGGCTGCGGGCTTTGGCTGCCTCAGTACCTCACGCGTGGCGCAGCGAAAATCAGCTTGCTGCTTTGCCTCACCATGTTGGCAATGATGACCGCGCGGAACCTCAGGGGGATGGCGATTGTGCCTGGCAGTCGTACTGCCTGGATGTCTGGACTGGATGGAGATAAAGTTGGTGAAAGGTGAACGACTTGATTAGGGGCGGAGCATGTCTTGGGGTTTCAGATCGCACTGAACTTGCGGGAGGCGATGCGGTTTGTCCGCGGATGTGCGGATTGGTGCCTCAAATTGGCTCTCACATGCAAGCGTGCTTTTCCCTTCTGAAAGTTGGACTTTACTAGTTGGGCTTGAACGGCTTGATGTCATAGAAGAGTTCCCCAGTGTTTGGGCTTGACATGGCTTGGTGGCCAGAGATCCCAGAGGCTGCAAGAAACAGTTCGTGTATTCGCGCCGTTCTTGGGTTGGCATTTGGAAGACTGAAGGGTCCAAAGTAGTATCCTTAGCCCCGGTCCGTTAGAAAGGCTTATCACTACGGACCTTGTCCAGTGGCAAGTGCGCCACCCCCCCCAAAAAGACCAGCGAAAAAGGGGCTGAAGCCTGGCCGCCTGACCGCGATGGAGGTTCGGCCTGTTGCACGGCTGAGGTGGAGCCGATGTTCCATT